TTTGTCATGAGTATATATTATTGTCATCCTTTGGAAGAATGGTAGACTGAAGCAAGTTGTTTAACCTCTCTTTTATGGAAAACAAAATACCTAGTGTCATTGAAACATTAACATTAACATTTACTTTGACCTGGCTGAGGGCTGTCAGCCGACCACATTGATTGTGTAAAAAACACAAGAAAGCATTTCCACCACATGTTAAGAGATGTTTTTACCTTGCATCATTTTCAAAATGTTCAAAATAAAACACCACACCCTTGTGATGGGAAGTGGTAAAAATGACTTTGCCATGTAAAACCATTACCTGCATCACGCACAATAGCTCCTGATTTTACTGCATAATTTCATGTGTGCCACTAAACAATCAACCCGAAAGCTTTTTAGTTTGTTTTCCATGAAAGTATATTTCATGGTCATTTCAAAGGCGTTGCTGATTTACAGATTACAGATTTATTGTTTGTATAGTTCATATACAGTATATGTATCTTGATAAAATATACATGTGTGCGCAAAAACGACAATTTGTGCGTAATGTATCCCTTCGCAGGGGAAACGAGATGAACATGTGGGTAGAGCCGTCCCTTTACATTATCGCTCTCTTTTTGTACGTAAAGGTCAGTGGTTTTAATGAGAAGGCCACTGAGGTCAGAGGAACCGGAGGGCTCCTCCTCCTGACAGGCCTCATGACTCCAACCCTGCTGTTAGCATGCTAATCCTCGCAGGAGCTCCGCGAGCAGTCCTTCCTTTGGCTCGATGCGGTCATCTCTCACTGTGACTAACTGGCTCCCTGCTCGGCCATCAGCCGGCCCACGTCTGACAGTCCCCTCCAATGATAATGGACAACAGAGGCAGTGCTGCCTTGACAACGGCCTTCCTGACAAATTAGGCTGACTGTACTGCTCCGCGCTCTGGCTCCGCCTCTTGTTGCTTGGCAGTTGTGGACTGTGCCAGGACAGGGGTGCCGCGTTGCGCTGGTGGTTAGGTTTACTGAAGTAAGAGGCGACCTTTTCTGGGATACATGTTGCCTCTCTCCGTGACAAAAAAACTCCAAATCGATTGGTGTTTTAAAAAACGGGACACAATGTGGGGCGGAGTGCCCATCCTGAGCTGAGTGTAGGATTCTGGGCCAGCGAGGAGAGGATGAGCGCATAAACACACACACCAAACCTCAAACCGAATGCGAGGAGAGGGAGGGATCTCACAGAGAGAGGATGATGCAACGAGTGTGAAATTTTTCGGCCGGAACCCATGCTGCATTAACGCAGGCCTGCAGGACGAAAAAAACACACCCGCACTTTCTTTCTTTGTTCAAAGACAATTTTTATTATCTTTTTCTTTTGCACGCGGTACTCTAATGGCAAACTTTAACACCTAATTGCCTGCAATAAAACCCAGCATGATACTTTCATGTTTTTGGCATCGTTACTTCCTGGCCTCGCCAAACACGATGAGCCCAATGATCTGCTCTGAACCTGCTCCCTTGACACATTCACTTAAAAGGGTTGAAATATCAACACTGTAGAAGGAACCATAACGTCCTTTATTACCACCATGGATTATAGCCTCCATATGTGGCATAAGCCCCGGACAGTGTGGGTACGTTTAAAGATCATCTTGCTTTATCTCCGCTTGCTTGTTTTCAAACATATTAAAACATTTTATCAAGCATTGATTGTAAATGACAAAATAGTTCATCATTGATCACCAACGCTATTTTATTGCGATGAGGTAGCAGTATCTTCGCTTGACTGTAGATAATTTGCACTAAAGACCATTTGGATCACTTACCAGGTCAATATGACGTATTTGGCCCCTATCTTAAGTTTTCAACACCTGCTGTGGCTTCGAGCAACTCCTTGGCTTTGCAACCACTTTAAATGTCTGAGCCTAAGGCAAGAGCTGTTGCTAATGGATTTAGTTTGTCCAAGGACAAATATATAACTCACATTAAATTACCACCAAATGAAACAACAGCAACGAAACATTGTCACTGGGTGCATTTTTTCTGAAAAACAAAGAGGTAGACAATAAAGGTTTGGCCTGGAACATTATAACAACTGAAGATGTGACAGCCGCAAACAATAGATGATAACCTTTAGGTAATGTCTTTCCCGTATCATCAATTGGCCCGGTGATTATTACATGGAATCACACTGATGAATAGTGCTAGCAATCATATCTACACCTTCTCTTCCTGAATAGACCCCGGGAATAAACGTCCCATGCTGCATTGACAGAGAGAAGAGAAAGAGAAAAGGGGCTGGCTCTTTGTGCTAGCTGTGCCTCTCAACCCTGTTGTGCTGGATAGCAGCAGCAGCAGCAGCAGCAGCAGCCGGTGACCATTATAAATGGCCTCTATTAGCATGGCTCGGTCGCAGAGGGGAGAGAAATAAAATCATTGGGAGAATGTAGGCTTGCACTGGTGTCACTGCGCCCGCTGCCAGCCTCTGCAGACCCCCGTCCCGTGCTCCCCTCCTCATAACTCCCTCCATCTCTCCATTCCAATGGGACAGAATCCTAAAGACTAGATTACTCGTGATACATGGAGTCATTATGGGGAGGGTTATGGCAACAGCATCACAGGTGGGGCCGACGATGGCTATAATAAGAGTCTCTTTCTTCAGAGGTAGCTTTACTATATAAGGCTTATTTGTTAGGCTTGTTGATGTGCAGCAGAACAGCTGGGCCTTTTATTACCTGCCGTAGCAGAAAAAGCTCTGTATTATGTAGCTTAAGAGCATGCTTGTTTCTTTTTAAAAGTGTCATATCACTTTGGGTAAAGTTAAATGAATGCAACAGCATCCCCCGATGAGGCATTACATTGTTAGCGTTGACAGTTACTGTACAAAGTATGTGCCACTGGGAGAGAGAAAAAAAAAGAAAACAAATATTTCAAAAGGATATGGCAGTTTTTCATGTACAATCTTGGCATCACCACAGCCATTATCCAGCATGTCCCATCACTGAACAGGTAACACGTCCGGTAGACAAAGGGCAGAAAGAGGGAAAGCAAAAAATGATGCGTATTATGCGGAATTACTGAAGAGGAAAAAATCGGAGAGAAGAGGAGTTTTCGCGTGGGCGATGTTACAGACTTTCCCTCCACTTTCAAACCTTAAAGGGTCATCTTGCCCTCGGTTTGACTCATTCTACTCTTTAGCAAGACTATGAATATTGAAAACGGCATAAAGGAGCGCGGAAAGAAGGGAGGAGTAGGAACAAATTGTAACGTGTGTGTACACATGTAAATTGGTACATTTGTGCAAAACTGACAAAGACAATTTATCTGACAAAATCGTCCTCTTGAGTTAAAGGTCATTTGGCTGCTTTGCGTTTTAAATATATTTTTCACAAGGCCCAGAAAGAAAGACACAGCATTTATTATTCCTCTTCAAGGTATTTATATAATTACCTGTAACTGTATTTACTCTTGTCTCAAACTCTTGCTGTGACATCATGTTATACCTGATTTGTGTTGAACTGTGAAGTCTTCAATAAAACCAGCGTGACGGCATCGCACGCAGTCAGTCACTTTTCCTGTTATTTGTGGGACACGCGGTCTTTTACTGCTAATTTGGGAATCTTCTATGAAACCTCTGGAGGAGAGTTGAAGGGAATGTGGCCTTCAAACAGGTCACAGAGAGCTGGTGAGTCAGGGAGTAGCTAGTGCCTCCAGCTAGTTAAAATATGAGCGCAACGGGGGCTCGCTAATGAAAGCGGGGGCCCTGCCCGGGAAGCAAGGCAGTATATTGCAGTGAGGAGACAGTTCTTAGAATCAGCTGGCGAGCCGTGCCTTTAGTTCTGGGGCCATTGGTGATTAACTGTCCAACAGGGAGTCACTACTACAGCTGGGCTATTAATAAAAGATAACCCCCACACCCTCTCTGCACTTCTCCACCTCTTTGGTTCCCCCGATGCCTGCCGACAGTCTCTGCCCTCTGGAATTATTTGAATATCATAATAATTTTGTGACACACGGTGCATCGCATACATTGTTTACATGGGGCAGAGGGGGCTTTTAGGGGGGAACAAGTGGAACTCCCGAAAAGTGATGGCCCATTCTTAATTTACTTTGCTCCCCATGGAGATGTCCTGCCGGTATAGCAGATTAGTGATATCTCCTTAGATGAAATATAAGGCATTTATATTATACCAAAATATGTTATATCAGAAGTTTATGATTATTATTATTATTGACAGGAACAAAGAGATTTTCTTAGCTTGACATTGTGTTTCAGCTTTTGTTAATGAATAAGCCAAACAAAGACTACAAAAATACAATGTGCATAGGCCTACACGTCTTATACTTTACAATGCGTACACACGTGCACGCGCGACCGCCCCTCTCACTATCAGCCCCCCGCCCCACACACACACACACACACACACACACACACACACACACACATACACACACACACACACACACACGCACACACACACACACACACACACACAAGCTCCGGCTCCCCACACACGCCTACACGCATAAAGCGAGAGAGTTACGGGCAACAGAGTGTGCGCTGCTGCGGGCAATCAAACACCGCCTCCCCGCTAAAGCAACGTGAAAACGGGAGGTTAACGGCGTGGATTTAGCACTTTAGTGGATGAAAGCACGCTAACAACCGCTGGACTAGACGTTGAATACCCGCGTGCATTCTGCCCACATATTTGCTCCTGCTAATATTACCGTATGCATTCAAGCCGTCGTGACTCCCGATTCGTGACACTGTCATATGTTTGCCCAATAAGACACAGCAAAAGTGATGCACTGAATTGGATAACCAATGAAAATGATTTTTTTTTAAAAGCCACAAATCCCCAAAACAAAATGCATGAAGTAGCATATTTCTTCAGTCATTCAAAAATTGCACATTTCTTTCTAACAAAGAAATCTTGCAGGATTTAGGCTCTTCACGCCTCCCAATTTGCGACATAAATATATATTTTTTATCAAACAAAGTGGACCCGTAGTTTGGAGGAATATGGGCCGAACCCACCTTTGTGCATGCCCGTGAAGCGGTCCTTCAGCACAGTGAGCTCGTAGATCTTGCCGAACTCCTCGAAGAGGGGCCGGAGGTCCTTCTCGTCCAGGTTGCGGGGGATCTGACCGATGAAGAGTTTGATGGCATCGTGGTCTTTCATGGGGATGGTGGCTGGGCAGCCCAGCGGGCTGTGGCTGTGGCTTAATCCGTTCACGAGCCCGTTCGTGCTGGCGGAGACAAGACCGACACCGTGCACCGTGCCGTCCACCTGCCCGTTGGTTAAAGTTGTCATCTTCGGACCGGCCCGTGAGTTGGGAGGGGGTACGAACAGCAGCAGATGGTGGTGTTGGAGAATCGTTTTACGTTGAAAAAAAAGCTGTTGGAAGTCTTGTTCTAATGTTGGTTCCGAGTCCGAGCCGCGTCAGAGCCGATTCCACTCTCGTCCTCTCAAAGCCAATATTTACACTGATGTGAAAACACATGTAGCGTTTGGCGAAGACGCATATCAAAAGCGCGCAATGCCGTTGATCCCGATGCAGGCTTTGATTCCTTATATTTATGTCCTAACCAATAACTCGTTCATTGATTTCATAAAAGAGAGGCAGAGAGAAAGAGAAAGGGGAGGGAGAGTGAGAAAGGGAGAATGAGAGAGAAAGAGAGAGACCAAGAGCGTTCACTGTCTATTTACACCCACGTTCACTCGTCCCTGCTTCTTGGCACCCTTTTCTTTTTTTTTGCATTGAGGAGTCGGAATGGGTGTCTTCACGGTTTAAACGGACAGGACCGGTTCAAACCCTGTCAGAACCGTGGGGAGGTTTGAATAAAGGGGGAGGCTGTAATCTGTGCATATTTCAACCCAACGTTGTCTGCTCCCCCCCCTTGTCTTATCTGACGTCCAAGTGGTACATTCCACCAAAGAGAGGGGGTCTATAAATTGAGAAATACAGAGAATACGGTCCTTTGTGCTCCTACTCAGAGCGAATAACCACCCGTGCACGAACTCATGATAATTCATTTATTCGCGACTTCCACCTCTGATTAACTAATTGACCTACAACATTAATCGCGATAAGCGCTTCAGTCTTCTTACAACAATTTCCCTCGCGACACAGTTTGAGTCACTCACAATAAAATGTTTGTTGCAGACGATGCGTGAGAAAAGTGTCTGCGATTCTTACGAGGTTTAATGTCGCGCTTCGATCACACTTCGTGTTAAAAGCCTCCCTCGTCTCCGGCGACAGCAGCAGAGAACCGCAGCATCCTCGGTTCGCTGCCGGATGCTGGACAGCTCCGTGGTGCTGAAACCTGCCCGCGGGCGAAACGATAAGACCGACGCAGGAGTCGTCGGATAGTAGCGAACGCTCTTTATTGTTGAAGAGAAACACGCGTTTGGGACTGGCGAGATACGTGTTATTAGCTTTTTGTCTCTCTCGCGCGCACTAGCCATTTACAAAGTCAGCTGGATTAGAGGATTTGATTTGGAGAGAGGCAAAGTCTTTGAGCACCGCCGAGTGGCGTAGAGAGGTGGGCACATTGGAGGGGAGAAAGAAAAGTCACACAATGGTGGGACGAACTGACAAGAGGTAAAGGGATGATATTTCCTAATGTCGGAACTCTTTAGGATTCTTCAGACGACGAGCATAGGAAAGACAAAAGAAAAAGAAAGGTCACAATATTACAATTTACACTGCAACAAACCCACAAAAAGATATTTCCCAGTCAAAGTTAAAGGCTGATTTGAAAGGCCATCCGGTATTGTCCAGTTTCGTTATGTAATACATAATATACACAATACTGTTTAAAATCTAAAGTGGGCATTCTCATTAACATTCCTTATCAAAATATCCATATGAGTGAGTTAAGTGTTGATATTATGCACCAGTCAGAGTTAAAAAATGTATTTATTTCTGTCATGGAAACTAACTGAGCATTATTTTAAACAATTGTACTGCTTATAGATTAACAGAGGTAATAGATACAGTTGAGTACAATTTCTACACACAGGCCCAATTTTTGGAATGTTAGATCTAATATTCCCAATCTGAGCATTGATAAGGCCTTTCAATGAAGATCAATGGCTATTTTGTTTTATTCCTTTAGGAACCAGTTCATGGTGTTGATTTCCACTCCCAAAGGATGACTACTATTCTCAAGGTCATGGTAAATTTTAAACGATAAGAGTGTTGATATTTCTATTGAAATCCAACAAAGTAATGATCTCAGCAACTGTGTCTCAATCTAGGTGGTCTTTTTAAATATGTGAACAATGATCTCTCTCTCTCTCTCTCTAGTGCGTCAGTATGAGCCACTGATATCTCACCTAATATCCACGTATATAAAACAAAGACCCATGTACTTTTTGATCTGAACGAATATTGAATTGAGGTAATGTACGTAATACACACACACAAGTGGTTGCCTGTATGACAATATGTTGTATTCGTATTATACCAAAGTGTTGTTGAGTATCATTCTCCAATGATGGGAAATATGAACTGCACCCCAGTTCTGCTTCAGCGTCTTCAGTCAAAGCACGCTGTCTAAATGCTTCATTGTATAGCAGCCATTTCCAAGGCGCATAATGTTGACCTATTTGTTTTCATTTTTGGCTGTGAGGCGTGCCCCCCCCTGCACACACCCTCTACCTAGACATTAGCCAACCATTAAATAACAAAAGCGACACACTCGGCGCCTCTCTCGCGTCTTTCTTCTCTTCTGCCAGCTAAATGGCCCGGTAATGTCATCCCGTTCTCACGGCATGACCGGGCCCCAGAGGGGCAGGAGGGGGCTGGGGGGGGGGGACACTTTGGCATGACACCGTGCTCTGTTCTCCAAGCTCTCCCTCGGGGCTACATCCCATTCACCACAGCAGCCGAGCCTGCGCGCACGCCTGACTTACCTTCAGCAATATTTTTAATACAAGGTTGATATGGGAGGTCACAAATCATTATAATTATGTTCAGCGGGTGCTGCCGTGATGATTATGTAAGGTATGGCGCCACGATGGTTCCCTCGTGGTCTGTTTCGTCACACCATCTATACCTGTGAGCCACTGTGAAAGGTTTTCAGCGTTTCCCGGAGTAAAATGGCTTTGGTGACTAAGCCCATCGGACTGATAATAATAAGACGCAATTAACAATCATGTTGTGTTACAGTGTGTGTTTTTGCTCCCCAAATGGTACTTATTTAAATACGTCCGGGTGTACTAACACATGCACGGCATGCTGAGAGAAATCTTAAGCACCCTGTTTCCGTCAAACTATTTTCATCTTTATTCTCTGATATCCCAAACTCTACATTTACCCCCCAATAAAATCAGATTTGGATTGTTTTTTAGCCTACGACAGGACTGCAGTTGTAAAACATGACCAACAAAAACATGGTAGGAAACACCAATAGATAAAGCCTCTGTCTGTGGTGCTGAAACCAACTGAGCAAGGTTTACAGCCTTGTCCATGGTGCTGAATTTACCATAAGGCAATACCAAGTTCTGCTCTTATCAGGCCATATACACAGTAAATTCTCCATAATACTTAATAAAAGGCTTAAGGCCTATAAGAAGAAATCAGTATGGACAAGTTGTAGACAACCATGTGTGGACCCCCTATATTCCTCAAAGCATTCCTGTGGGCTCATCAAAAACAGGTCACTTCATTCCTCCCCCCCATCAAATGAACGTTTGCAATCATACAGAAGAGGCCTATTTTGCCCTTGGAATATTTCTCCCTTCCTCGTCATGGCTTCAATTTTCAGTTTCTGCACTGTAAACGGTTGCAGCAAGGCAAATAAATGAAAAGGGAAATGAAATTCTAGGTAGCCATGTTACACAAATAGATTGATAATCTGCATGGGGCACTATAAAAAGCTCAGACTTTTTCAATATTTCCTATTCTGCATAGTAATGTCTTTCCTCACCTCTCCTTCATATGGGACAACGTTCTAAATCTCCTGTAGCCTTGGGACACCCGGGCTGTATATCACGTCCCAGTAAATTAGGAGGAGAGCAAAAAGGAAGCATGTGCACGACTAAATGTTCAGAAAGTTTCAAATGTGTTTATGTTGTCTTAAGAAAGGTACTGATCTTGTCTAAAAGGTTTGTGTGGCGTGATGACTTTACTTAAACGTCACATCTGGAATCGTCATATTCATTAAAGGTAAAACTCTAGTTAGCATCAACAATAATTAGTTTATGAAAACATTAATAAGGAAGGACATACAAATGTGTTGGAATCCATCGAAGCAACGCTAGTAATTGAAAGAGGGACAATTCTTTTATTTCCTGAGGGAGAATTCATTGAAAAAATGTCTTTGAATGAAGAGTCTTACAGTGAAAGTTTGTTGACATTGGCTTGAGATATTATGTCCCATAGGGCACAAACAAACAAAAGCTGAAATGCTTTCAATATGACATAAGAACCCTTCAATTAGCAGATCTATGAATAAAACAGATTAAACAGAAGATTGACAAACTATGTTTGGTATTATACACACAGGGATAGAACTGTGGCAAATGTTGTGCTTGATCAAACAATTATACAGATCCATGAACTATTGGAAAAGATATTGAACACATACATTAAGTATAAAAAGGCATCACACTGCATTGACGAGAAGCACTAAGAATGATTTTGCTACTAAATTTATCCCAGTTTAATTATGGTGCTATAATGTAATGCATACAGCTAGGCACAAAACAATGATGACAAGATGCAATGGATTGCATTAAAATAAAGCCTGTACATTTGTGAATTGCACAGCCTCCTTGGAATCTCATTCTGTGGAGCAATGAGGTGTGTCGGTCTCTCGCCCCTGCGGTTATACCTGGGCTGCATTGGAAAGAAATTAGTGCTGTGCCATTTGACGTGAGTGGGCGTCTCCGCCTTTGCCGAGTGCCAGCTGCACAGATCAGCCATGCTGACAGCGCCTCTCCTTGACTGACTCGCTGCCCCGAAATCACAAGCCTCTTGACAACATCACACATATGCTGGCATGCACTGTGCACATATAAGCACAGCTTTAGATGCATGATGCACCCGCACACATGCTCCCAGCCAATCACTCAAGACAGAAAATGTCTTTAATGTCTGGGTGCTGTCCGAATCATGCAGGACCAAAATCCTATTTCCACTACACAGATCAATTCCACAGAGGGGTCAGCAGGTGAGAGGAACTCTCCCCCTCCGGCTTTGTTGGCACACACTGATGACACTCTGAGGACTTGACCTGGTTGTCAGGGTGATGTGACACCTCCATTCAAGAAAGGCAGCCATTTTGGGGACAGAGTTTCTGACTCCACGGTGTCATTAATTGCCCTGGGGAGGAAAGCGGGACTCACAGGGGAGTAAGATAACACCTGGTTTTCTGTTATACCCCAGGACAAAAAAAACGTTTTGAGTGATGAGGTGTAGCCTCGGTATCAACGCGAGTGTGTGAGAGTGAACACTGTGCGTGTTGTTACGGCCTATTTACCATGCCTGGGGGCATTCAGTTTGTAACAAAAAGGAGAACTAAATTATCAAAGGTAGCAAAGGTGAAACAAAACGAATGACAGCTGGAACACTTCAGTAACTGACAGTTATTGATTATTGAGTGAAAAGAAGAAAAAAAACTGCAAAAGGGAAATTGCGATGTCAGGGTCACAAAGGCCAAAATAATAAACATAACTCCCCCACTAACTAGAAAAAAAGAGTTCAGCTTACCTAACAAAACAGTCCCTACCTACCCACACAACAAGAGAAAACAA